TGGGTGGCGTGAGAGAGAGAGAGAGAGAGAGAGAGAGAGAGAGAGAGAGGAATAATGTAAGAATTGGAAGCAGAGATGGAGGGAAGACATTTTTCTCTAATAATAATGAATTGCAAAGATAACAGCTCAGTTGCAGACCCCTGCTATCTGCACCATGAGAAACACACAACCACACAGAGGCCTGACCAGAAACTTTATGTGGCTGTGTGTGTGTGTAAATATATGTATTTATGACTGTCTATGTCTGTCTTACAAAGGCTATACATATGAAACTGAGCATTTGCATCTGTAAAACAGAACTTCATGGGTTTTGCTTTAACAGTTGATCGTCACAAAATATGGTCCTCAGTTCACTGCCATGAAAGTGGGAGATACGGACATTTTCTTTTGTGTGAGTGTGTTTGTGAAAGTGTAGTAGGACAAGGAGTCCGCTGGGGTTCCACTTTGAGCTAAATGCTAATTTCAACATGCTAACCTGCTCAAAATGACAATGGTATAATACTGATAGTAAGCAAGTGTTATGTTTACAGTGTTTACCATCTTAGTTTAACCTGTTAGTATGCTAAAGTGTGTCACTTGGCGCTTAAGACAAAGTACAGCTGGGGCTGATGGGAATGTCATTTTGTTCTGTAAGTATTTGATGAACCAAAGTATAGGACAAATTGAATTTTGAGCAAATGATGGCACTAAAGATAAAGTAGGGAGATCACCAAAGTCATTACAATTAATCATGAGGGGGACATGGATGTCTCTATCCAATTTCATGGCAAACAATTCAATAGTTGTAGAGACATTTTGCTTGAAACCACAAACGTGTTTCACATAAATGTCTGCAAAATGTAATGGCAATCCATCTAATAGTTGTTGAGATAATTAAGTCTGGACCAAAGTGGTGGACTGACCAACTGACCAGCGTTGACTTATCTTACTTATCTACTTATTCTCAGCCATGTTAGTGGAAAGTATATTATTAAAGAGGCGTTTATCTAAAATATATATACACTTTAACCAGAGTTGAGATCTAAAGCAACTTTTGCTTGTACTAACAAGTACTGACGTACAGCCATACCAGCAGCTCTGTGAGGCTGCACTTAGACACAAAGGTGCTTTGGGTTTAATGCTAATCTAAACATGGCAACATGTCCACATCAATAATGCTAACATACAGATTTTTAGCAGGTAATGTTTACCAGTCATTGTCTTAGTTGAGCGTGTTGGCGTCTTAACGTTTGCTATTCATAATTAAACACAAATCACACAATTTACAGCTGAGGATACTCAATGTTTCTCAAAACATTTTTAAGACATTATTGTCCTCAAATCCCTAAATTAACAAGTAGTTCTGAGGCCCATAGGTATTCTCTGATACCTCAAGTACACGAGCAACAGATGCATTCATAAATTAAGAACATCATCATTCACACAACAGTAATAAAGTACACAGCATTAACACTGGCCTCCAGACTATCATCCAACACATAAATTATCCAAAGTTAATCAAGTTGAAACCGCAAACCCAATTTTTCAGCTGTTAATCGATGTTCATGGCAATTTTATTATGAAGCCCATTCATCCTGTTCATGCTCAATGCATCACACAGCAGCTTTTTTTTCTTGGGTTTTCTGTTGCCAACTATACTGACAGTGATGGAATTGATTTCATCTTGCGGTTAGGAATTGAAGACTTTATCACACAAGTTACAGAATCTCCCAATCGGACACTTACATTTCCCTCGTGCTCCTCATTACATTTCTCCGTGAGTGCATTGACTGTATATGAGAAGCGGACGAAGTCACTATGATGTCAACCATCGGTTTGTCGACTGCCGTTTTTGCCGTCACCATCTTGGTTTTTGGCAAACAGAAGTGACCCGAGAGGGTGGGGCTAAGTACAAACAAACGCTGAGTAAGTTACAATTAACTTTCATGAACTAAGAACACTCTGTGAAAATGTTAAATAAAAACAAGGACAACTCGCAGACTAGACAACTCTGTCCAGACCCGTTAATCACAGTGTAGCCCCGCCCTAAAGCATCCCCTGCTTTATGGTCTATTTGACTCTCAATGTACTAAATGGACATCATGCTGTATTGAAGAAGATTTGAAACTAGTGATTGAAACCATAAACTCATGTTTACAATGTTTACTGAGGTAATAAATCAAGAGAGAAGTAGAGTCATTTTCTCATAGACGTCTTTACAAACAGAGAGAGTAGTCACTCCACTATGGCCATTAGAAAGAATGCACTTGTCACCTGTTGCGTGCCTCTTTAAGCCAAATAAAAAATAACTAGAAAAAGTCTGTGGTGGTCAAACTGTGTAACTACAAAGTTAGCATCCTGTAGATATGAGTTTTCCACCCGACAAATGTGCAGATATGCTATGGGCAATTTAAAAATTAGGAAAAACGTAGGTCAAGAAAGTAATAAATGGCACGTTTGTGAAGGACAGGTGAGTTAAAACAATGGTGAAAGCAGACAGGGAGTGTGATGTTGACATGGAGAGAGAGGGACAATAGACATGGAGTGATAGTCAGTATGTATGTGTGTGTCTGCCCATCAGAGCTGCTTTCAGCCTGCTGCAGCGTCAATGTAATTGCCTCAACTGTCAAACCAGCCGAAGATCCTCACATCACTGCTGATGACTAGAACAGCAAGCGCTCTCTCTCTCTCTCTCTCTCTCTCTCTCTCTCTCTCTCTCTCTCTC